CCTGATGTAGGTGATGGGGGTGGGGGGATATGGAGACAGCAAATCACCATGGCATGTGTGTACCTATGTAACAATCCTGCAGGATGCAGGATGTGCACATGTGCCCCAGAGGCCAAATACAATAATTTAAAAAAAAATTAATTATCCTGAAAAAAAAAAAAAGCGGGTGGAGAGGTGTCAGTGGCAAATCCGTTCATTCTTGGTGATATGTCCCAAATATACATTATTATATCATATTCTCAAATTTTCTGTATGTTTAACATAGGTTTATTTTTTTAATAAATTAAGTTTTGTGGGGGGAAAACATGCAAACTAACAAAACAAGTCTGCAGGCTGGACCAACGCCTAATACTTCTGATTTTCCACTTCTGCTCCCAGTCTAGTGGTCCAGTGGGGGAGATAAAAGATGAGATATGTTAGGTGCTGTGCACAGTAAATGTAAAGAGCGCCGTAAGAAAGGAAAGTGCTTCCAGAGGATTTATGCTCACAGAGGATTCGTGGGGTCCTTGCATTTGGGAAGGGACGACCTCACCCACAGCCTTGGCAGCACCAGTAGCAGAGATGACATTCTGGAAAGCCTCGTGACCGTCAGCCACAGTTTCCCAGAGGGGCCATCCATGGTCTTCTGGATGGCAATGATGACGTGGACTGTGGTCATGAGTCCTTCCATGATACCAAAGTTCTCACGGGTGATCTTGGACAGGGGTGCTAAGCAGTTGGTGGTACAGGAGGCATTGCTGATGATCTTGAAGCTGTTGTCATACTTCTCATGGTTCACATCCATTAGGAACCTGGGGGCGTTAGCAGGGGGGGCAGAGATAATAACCCTGTGGCTCCCCTCTGAGAGAGAGACCCAGCCTTCTCCATGGTAGTGAAGACACTGATGGACTCCACAATATACTCAGTACCAGCATTGCCCTATTTGATTTTGGAAGGATCTAGTTCCCGGAAGAAGGTGATGGGACAAGCGTCCCATTCTCAGCTTTGATGGTATCATGGGTGGAATCATACTGGAACACATAGGCCACGCAGTTGAGGTCAATGACAGGGTCACTGATGGTGAAAATATCCACTTTACCAGAGTTAAAAGTAGCCCTGGTGACCAGGCAGTTAATATGACCAGGCTTTTGCCTTCACTGTGGTTTCTCAAGGATGTGGCTGGAACAGAACAGGGCAATGTGGCTGCCTGTGAAACAGGAAGAGAAGAGAGCTAGCTACAGCATAATATTTAACACATGATTATCAGATTAAGAAATTCTTTACAAACTCTGAGGCCAACAGGGTGTGACTTAGATGGACATCATTTTACATAGCATGCTAAAATTCCCTGCGCATGTAGACAATTCAATTGTCTCAGTATCACTTGTTTAAAAGACTATCATTTTGCTTCATTGAATTTACTTTTGTCGAAATCAATTGGCCATATGAATTTAGGCCGTTAACTCACACATAAGCAAAAATTCCCACACAATGGATTATAGGCCTAAATGTAAGGGCAAAATTATATACATCTTAGGAGAAAGTGTAGATTAACATATTCGTAATCTTGAATTAGGCAAAACCCCAAGTTTTCCTGGTTAAAAAAAAAAAAATTTGAAAATAAAACATGATCAAAAATAAAAATGTTTGCATTTTAAAAGACATCAATATTAAAATGAAAAGATAAGCCATAGACTAAGAAAAAAAATTTCAAATACGTATTTGATAAAGACTTGTATGTAGAATATAAAGTGTACTTACAATTAAACAACAAAAAGGTAAATAACCCAATTTTAAAATGGGCAAAATATTTGAATCATCATTTCACCAAAAAGGTGTAGGAATGGCCAATAAAGCACATGAAAAGATGGTCAGCCTCATCAGTCAGCAGGGAAATGCAAATCAAACTACAGTGTGACAGCACCTCTTACTCACTACAATGCTACAATAAAAAAGATGGACGATAACAACTAGAGGAAATGAAAAAACAATAATGTGAACAAATTGAAATGCTCATGCATTGTTGATGAGACCTGCAGCCACAGTGGAAAACAGTTTGACAGTTTCTTAAAATATTAAAGATACATTTACCATCTGATCTAGTAGTTTCACTTCTACCCGTCTACTGCAAAGAAATAAAAATGAATGTCTGCACAACATGTGAATGTGAATATTCCTAGCAGCTTTATCCATAATAGTCCAAAAAGTGGAAACACACTGAATATCAACTGATGAATGAATAAACTAATGGCAGCCATTCATACAATTTAATAGAATTTGGCACCTAAAAGGAAAGAAATCTTGATATGTTTTACCACATACATGAACCACAAAAGTATATTAAGCTAAGTGAAAGAAGACAGATACAAAAAACCACGTATTATATGATTCCATTTATATGGTGCCCAGAAAATCAAATCTGTGTAGTCAGAAAGTTAATTAGTGGCGGCCTAGAGCTGGGGGCTTGGGAATAAGGGGTGGCAACTGATGGGCATGAGGGATTCCTTAGGAAGGAGAGAAATATTTCAAAACAGAATTGCGATGACGGCCACACAAGTCTAAAATTTTAATAAAAATAATTGAACTGTGCCTTAAAACAGGTGAATGTTACGATATGTCCATTATACCTCAGTAAAACTGTTTAAAAATAAAAGAAAGTTGGCTTGCTTCAGTCTTGCCCTTTATTTCTTACTTTCCTATAGAAAGCGAGATATTTATTGGCTAAAGGAAGCTTAAATTTATTGGTTCCACTCAGAGACTCCAAGAGAGACACTGGTTGAAGTCTATTAGCCTCCAGAACTCTCAAGCACTGCCAGAACAAGCTACCCCGTCCTGAAGGAGATGAAGAATACCTAACGTGCACTCCAGCATCTGCTACAGCAGGCAAAGGTGTGTGATGCACCTGAGTGGTCTCAGGTAGTGCTCCATACGTCTCAGCAAGACCCAGCACTTGTAGCTAGTTCTGAGAGCTTCAGAGAACAAGCTGCTACATCTTGCAGCCCAGGGCCAACCTCTTCTAGGCAAGTGGGTTTGAAGTGTTGCTAGTCAGGTCCCAGGCAGCAGTGAATGTCTACAACATGGGAACAGGGCAAGACCCACAGTGGGATTTCAAGCCAAATCATTTATAGAGTATTACTTCCAGCAATTGAAAAAAGCGCATAGCCAAGTCAATTCTAAGCAAAAAGAACAAAGCGGGGGGCATCACACTACCGGACTTCAAACTATTCTACAAGGCTACAGTAATCAAAACAGCATGGTACTGGTACCAAAACAGAGATATAGACCAATGGAACAGAACAGAGGTCTCGGAGGCAACACAACATATCTACAACCATCAGATCTT